TCCCCTTTGCCATTTCCAGCAGGCAATCCTCAAGGTTCCATCAACCTTTTGATGAAACTTCTTGTGTTTATGACATGCTGGAATTAGCTTCCTGCAATGAACCGAGTGGATCCAGAGACATGGAAGCATGGGAGAGAGTGCAGAATCTCAGATGGAAGTCGAGGGAGGGTAAAAAAAAAAAAGAGAGAGAGAGAGAGAGAATAAACATCTCTGGGTGAGGATTAAAGAAACACACACTCACTCAAACACAGATACCAAACAAAGCCACATGAGCCTCGAGCATTTTCTTCTGTTCTCTGGCATCAACAAGAAACCTCTAGCTTGCTGTGTTGTGGGTTGGCTCTAAATTTGTGTTTGTACATCTGTCTTCAGTCAATGCTGACACCCTGGAAATGCTGACACCCCTCCATGTAACTTCCTCCTGCTTCACATGAGTCAATTGCTTTTGGTGTTGTTGTAAGGAATGTCCAAACCTGTGGGGAATTTTTTTACGTTTCTTTGACCCAAGTGGGCAATATTTGCCAGGAAGCAAAATAACAACAGATTGAGTAATGGTAAGAGGAACGGCAGTTTTGCACCTTTTTCATACATGAGACTCAAAGAAGACATATGGGGGTTACATGAAATCCACTTACTGGGGATGTGCCCAAAACTATGATACATGTCCTTGACAAGAATCAAACCTGGGACCCTTGAGTCTGGAGGCTTACGCTCTATCCACTGAGTCAAACCGGTTAGGGCCAATATACTTTTCTTAAAAAAATGTTGTCCAATACTTAAGAGTTAATATTTAACACAACAACAATACTAATTCTAGCTCTGAGGTCTTCTGTGTTTGGAGATTGTGCCTTTAGAAGTCTGTAAAAAAGAAAATATTCCTGAAAATCCAAAGGTATGTTATCCTAGATGCAAAAAGGCAATAGACAGGCTTACTAAGGTAAAGATTGACCTTTGCAAAGAAACAAAAAAGGACGCTAGGACATAACTATCCCAGTGACTTGCTTTTACTTAGAAAGTTTTAATTTCAAACCATCGTAGGAGGGTACTTTTGTCCTTGGAATTTGTAGGATTCACCATGCCATGCCTGGCTACCTGAGCTCAGATCTTGCATTTCCTTATATTATTCCAATACAAAAAAATGTTTATTTTTTAAAGTAAAAATGCACAAAATGAGTGATATGCCAACATCCATCTTTGTTGTTCCACTGTCCTATTGTTAAAGAAAATTGCCAAAACTCACAGCACATTAAGCAGAACATATGGAAAGATGTTTTAACAAAGATACAGACTCAGCAAATACACTTCTGAGAAAAGGCTCACCGTAAATTCCTAGAAAAAATCCAATCGAACAGTGAAGAAACATGAGAAACTTACAAAATAAAATGTTTAAATAAATAATGATTGACCAAACAAAATATTCTCTAGGATGTGAATCCCTCACACAAATGTGAATCCCTCACACACCACTGGAAAAATGCAAAAAAGTACAATCAGTTAAGGTTTATTTTATTTATGTTTTAAAAACAATCTTTACTACTTATTAGCATACCATAGAGTTCGGCTATTGGTTGAGTCACTCCATTCTTTTTTTTTTTTTAAATATATTTCATTGATTTTTTACAAAGAGGAAGGGAGAGAGACAGAGAGTCAGAAACATCGATGAGAGAGAAACATCGACCAGCTGCCTCCCGCACATCCCCCACTGGGGATGTGCCCGCAACCCAGGCACATGCCCTTAACCGGAATCGAACCTGGGACCCTTCAGTCCACAGGCCGACGCTCTATCCACTGAGCCAAACCGGCTTCGGTGAGTCACTCCATTCTTAGTGAGACATGCTCATAAGCACTGATGGTTTTTGTTTTTAAACATATTTTCTGAGCTCATAGATCTGTTGCCAGAGCGTGAGGACCTGTGTGTGCTCAAGTCTTGGTTCCCAGCACGAAAGGAGCCAGCAGCCAAGGGCGCCCTCTAGCCCTGTGTGTGTGTCAGCGAGCATTTCAGGGTGGATCCTTCCCAGCATCTGAGACCCATCAGGAACTGGTAAATAAACCCACTGTGTGCTTGCATCTCAAAAAACATATTTTCTGCCGAAACCGGTTTGGCTCAGTGGATAGGGCGTCGGCCTGCGGACTGAAAGGTCCCAAGTTCGATTCCGGTCAAGGGCATGTACCTGGGTTGCGGGCACATCCCCAGCAGGAGATGTGCAGGAGGCAGGTGGTCGATGTTTCTTTTCTCTCTCATCAATGTTTCTAACTCTCTCTCTCTCTCCCTTCGTCTCTGTGAAAAATCAATAAAATATATTTAAAAAAAAACAACAAAACATATTTTCTTATTGATGTCGAAAAGGGAGAGGGAGAGAGAATCACTGATTGCACCTCCTGCATGCCCACTACTTGGGATTCAGCCCCAAACCCAGACATGTGCCCTTGGCCAGAATCCAATCAGGGACCCTTTAGTTCACAGACTGACGCTCAATCCACTGTTCCAAATCAGCTACGGATAGGTTTATTGTTTATTTTTAAAGAATAGTTTATTTTTAGAGAGAGAAGGGAGAGAGAGAAACACTGATGGAAGAATGCCATATTGGCCAGTGACCTCCTGCACACTCACTTCTGTGGATCTAGCCCACACATTGGCACATATCCCTACCGGTAATCAAATCTACAATCCTGTGCTGCACGAGATGATGGCCAAGCACTGACCCACACCCGCCCCGCGGTATATTCCATTTAGATCACAATTTGCTAATGTCGGAAAATTTAAACATTCATCTACTCAAAAACCACAGACTATGCACTGAAAATTTTTTATATATATATTTTATTGATTTCTTACAGAGAGGAAGGGAGAGAGATAGAGAGTCAGAAACATCGATGAGAGAGAAACATTGATCAGCTGCCTCCTGCAAGCAGAAAAATACTTAGAAAAAGCAAAGTTCTCTAGTAAAATAGAATGTAAATCCATGGTTACTAGGAAAGCTGTGAAGAACAGGGACAGATTAAATGAGGTCAAGAAGCAACTACACAGTTACAGACATGGTCATTATGACTATAAGGATGGTTTCCGTTTCATGCACATGTCAAGATTTATGAAACACTATACTTAACACATGTAATTTACTCATTACAGCTGTTAAAAATGGTTCAATTGTATTCTGGAAGAACAGGTTTGGCAACTCTATAGTCAATCTCTTATTTATGCCCTCTGGGTGAGAGTCTCATCTTAGTGTCAGAAAATGTAATAAACAATGAAGAACTTTCACCCAAACCCACAGAAGCCACATTCCTGAACTAAAGACAGCCTTTGTCTCCATCTGTCTTTTTCTTTTTTTGTACTGTATTTTCGTTTAAATTTTTTTTCCAATCTGTAATTTCTCCATCCTTCTTTTGATGCCAGCGCACCAATGGCTCTGATGAGAACTTCTGAGAAACTACAGGAGCCACAACTCATCTTGATTATAATCAATGACAATGACTGTTCCCCAGAAGATAAACATGCCTGGAGTCCCTCAGATCTGTGTACAAACAGCTCCTGTAGTCTTTTCCTCAAAATAATTCCTGGATGCACAGTTAGATGAGGACCATTCCATTTAATGGGCTGCAGTCTCATCCAACAACAATTAGGTCAGTGTTTCTGTAGTGAAAGGGTTTCCCCTGAATACAACTGTGCTCAAACCAGTGACCATCACACGTGATACTGTAGGTATTAGGGCACATGGGCCTCTGCAACTCCTGGGTAAGAGATTCACTACACATGTATTACCATCGCTTGCAAACAAGAAAAAAAATTCATGTTCTCAGACATACTTGAGGTTGTCACAGCTAACCCCTCTTTGGAGTGATCTCTATGTCTCAAAGCATCCAGCTTCACATGAGAAGTAGTGTGGCCACAGTGTTTCCTAGGAAAAGATGGGCATCAGTGTAAATTAGCCAAAAACTGCTAAACTAATTTCTGAATCATACTGTTGCCCCAAGGGCAAAAATGTTTGAGACCCAATAAAAGTTTTTCACCTCGTCATGCTTGGAAAGCCCATATCTCCTTATAAACTAACCTATAGAGTAAATAGAACACCCCAGGTTAAAGAAGTCTTAAGATAAAGCCTTCATTATTTTACAATCCAAAGAGACAAGAGACTGGCAGTTCTTCCATTGATGACTTAGGCACACAATAAACTCATCATTAGCATCTAGGGAGGATGTGTCAATGAAAAAGGCAGTCCCTCTGCAATATGTTTACTGGGGCCAACTGTAATGAGGCCTATGTGGTAACACAAGACAGGGAAAAAGTAAGAACTAAGGGCTCAGGTATTCCTCATTTCCGTCAACAAATTAGAGAACAGACTTAGCTTCCCTGGGCACAGGAGGTTGGTGACTGATGCCATCTGCAGGGGCCTTATAGGTCGTTCAGGTGAAATACCTTCAGCAACAGAAATATGCAGTGATATAGATCTGGCAGGAGATCTCCATATATTAGAATGGGCAAAAAATTAGTGCTCCAACATAAAAATAATGTAGGTGATTAAATGTATGATTCAGCCGAAGCCGGTTTGGCTCAGTGGATAGAGCGTCAGCCTGCGGACTGAAAAGTTCCAGGTTCGATTCTGGCCAAGGGCATGTACCTGGGTTGCGGGCACATCCCCAGTAGGAGATGTGCAGGAGGTGGCTGATTGATGTTTCTCATCGATGTTTCTAACTCTCTATCTCTCTCCCTTCCTCTCTGTAAAAAATCAATAAAATATATTTTTTTAAAAATGTATGATTTAATTCAGAAAAATGAGGGTTCACAAATTTTCTTGTACTATTGTTAAGTTCTAAGAAACTACATTTCCTACACATTTAAGAAATTTCTCACATTAGTATTCTTATGCGGAGAGGGAATTTAGAAATTTGGCTGAGAGATACCTCACATTAATTGCACTAATAATAGCTTTCTCCAGTGTGAACTCTCTGATGATACTGAAGATCACTGCTCCTTTTAAAAGATTTCCCACATTCAGTGCATTTATAAGGCTTTTCTCACATATGAACTCTCTGATGTCGATCAAGGATGGTTTTAGTGGTAAAAGATTTTCCATATTCACTGTATTTATCAGGCTTTTCTCCAGTGTGAACTAACTGATGATATAGAAGACCTTTTCTACCTTTAAATGTTTGAGACCCTATAGAAGTTTCTCACCTCATCATGCTTGGAATGCCCAGATCTCTTTATAGACTAACCTATAGAGTAAATAGAACCCAGATTTTAAAAAGTCTTAGGAAAAAGCCTTCATTCGTTTACAAACCAGAGACAGGAGACTGGAAGATCTTCCATTGATGACTTAGGCACGCAATAAACTCATTATTAGCATATAGGGAAAGTGTGTCACTGAAAATGGCAGGCCCTTTGCAACATTATGTTTACTAGGGTGAACAGTATGAGTCCTATGTGTCCTATGACAGGGAAATAAGATAGAACTAAGGGCTCAAAACTAATTTTCTTCAACAAATTAACAGAGTTCCTTTGCTGGGCACAGGTGCAGGGTGATGGATTCCAAAGGTAGGGACGTTATCGGTGGTTCAGGTGAAATACCTTCAGCAACAGAAATATGCAGTGACATAGATCTGGCAGGATATCTCTGTATATTAGAACGTGCAACATAATTACATAGTGCTCCAACATAAAAACACAAACACAACAGCAAAAACACTTTGGGAACTTTACATAATGTAGGTGATTAAATATATGAGATACAATTCAGAAAAATGAGGATTCACAAATTTTCTTATAGTATTTTTAAGTCCTAAGAAACTACATTTCCTACACATCTAAGAAATTTCTCACATTTGTACTCTTATGCAGGGAGCAAACTTAGAAATTTGGCTGAAAGATACCTCACATTAATTGCACTCATAAGGCCTTTCTCCAGTGTGAACTCTCTGATGACTACGAAGGGTACTTCTCTGGGTAAAACATTTCCCACATTCACTGCATTTATAAGGCCTTTCTCCAGTGTGCACTCTCTGATGACACTGGAGATGATCGGCTTGTGTAAAAGTTTTCCCACAGTCACTGCATTGATAAGGCTTTTCTCCTGTATGAAGACTTTGATGACGACGAAGGACAGTGGACGTGGTAAAAGACTTCCCACATTCACCGCATCTATAAGGCCTTTCTCCAGTGTGCACTCTCTGATGACACTGGAGACGATCGGCTTGTGTAATAGTTTTCCCACAGTCCATGCATTTATAAGGCTTTTCTCCTGCATGAAGACTTTGATGACGACGAAGGACAGTGGACGTGGTAAAAGACTTCCCACATTCACCGCATCTATAAGGCCTTTCTCCAGTGTGCACTCTCTGATGACACTGGAGATGATCGGCTTGTGTAAAAGTTTTCCCACAGTCACTGCATTTATAAGGCTTTTCTCCAGTGTGAACTCTCCGATGACTACGAAGGCTGGTTTTACTGGTAAACATTTTCCCACATTCACTACATTGATGAGGCTTTTCTCCTATGTGAACTCTCTGATGACTACGAAGGTGGCTGTTAGTGGTAAAAGTCTTCCCACATTCACTGCATTTATAAGGCTTTTTTCCTGTATGAATTCTCTGATGACAACGAAGACCACTGTTCTGGGTAAAAAACTTTCCACATTCACTACATTTATAAGGCTTTTCTCCACTGTGAACTCTCTGATGATTACGAAGGTTGCTTTTAGTGGTAAAAGTTTTCCCACATTCACTGCATTGATGAGGCTTTTCTCCTGTGTGAAGTCTCTGATGACTACGAAGGTTGCTTTTAGTGGTAAAAGTTTTCCCACATTCACTGCATTGATGAGGCTGTTCTCCTGTGTGAAGTCTCTGATGACTACGAAGGTTGCTGGTAGTGGTAAAAGTTTTCCCACATTCACTGCATTGATGAGGCTTTTCTCCTGAGTGAAGTCTCTGATGACTACGAAGATTGCTTTTAGTGGTAAAAATTTTCCCACATTCATTGCATTGATAAGGATTTCCTCCTCTGTGAAATCTCTGATGATAATGAAGATGAGAGTTAGTTGTAAAAGATTTTCCAGATGCAGAGTACACAAAACATCGACTTCCAACATGGACACTCTTTTCCTGAATAAACATGTGGGTACAACTGATGTCTTTTTTGCATTCTTTTCTGGCGTAACCATTTTTCCTCCTTTGAAATGTCATCCCACGTGTCGAAATAGCATTTGGACAGTCCCTGGTCTGAGTAGCCTTTACGTGGAGATGTTCTGGTTCGGTAAGGACACCCTGCCCAACTTCCCTGTAGGTGAAACGATTCTGGGACACATTGAAATCGCAGCTGTTTTCAAGTGAGATCCTATCCACTCCTCTAATGAAAATCTCTCTCACATACTGCTGGTGAAATTTTACACTGAAGTAAAACCGTTTTGCACACGCCCCACACCTCAACAGTATCTGTCCTTGTAGTGTTCCCTGCAGGTCCATTACGTGGAAAATGTTTCCCAAGACTATCCCACAACTCTCACAGGGGTGGCTCTTCTGGGAAGACAAGGCTTTCTTGGGAACCCTTGCCTGTGACACTCTAAGAGAAACGTTCTGCTCAGTTGCTGCCTCCGCATTCTCTGCTCCACAGCAGCAACCTGTATTAAAGTAAATACTGGTGAGGTACATGTTGACCTTATGAAAACCGAGTATCTTCACCACCAATGATTAACTGTCATTACTACGCGTGATTCCACAGAAAGATTTTCAAAATGAGTGAGACAGTGAGGAAATTGCTATTAAAAAAAACCTGACCCCAAAAGTCAGTCGATGATGGAAATCTCACCAAGAGAGGGACAGAAGCACAGCATAAGATACAAAGAAGAGAGGATTGGTCTACTCCTTGTTCTTACACAAACGGCTTCCTTGAGGATCTTACATTCTGACTACGTGACTCTGTGTGGAATAATTTCAAGCTGCTCAAAGACATAAAAATTAATTGTGTTGGATCACAGGATATTCAGCTTCAATAAAATAACATGTGTGCTCTCCAAGGTGCTTTAGGCATGGACCACCATTGGCTTGCAGTAGAGAAAGACCTGTGAATGAGGCAGAGGTGCAAAGTCCAGAGTGGTTAAGGTTATCCGTAAGCTGGGAATCTAAGTAGCAATGATCACAATTAGAACTGAGTAGTTGGCAAAGTATCAACAATCAGCACAAACAAGCATAATTTGATGAGGAATGGGTAACTGTAACAAAACACTGGGGTTCTACCTATGAATGTAACAAAGGTCAGCAGAGAGTTCCTCCCCAATGATCCTTCTCCAAGGCAAGACCGCCTGGGGGCCTACTGTGTCATTCATAAGGTCGTGTTTCTTCTGTGATGCACAAATGATTCTTCCCCTTCAATCCCATTTCAGGTATTACTTGAGAGAAATGATGCAAAGAACATGGATAGTCAGCACTGTGGTAGAATAACAAAGCACAAAGGAGATCACAGACAAAAGACGTATGAAAGTGACATCAGCAAGATGGCAGAATGAGAGATAGAGAATCTTTCCCATTCCCAGTGTAAATAGACAGCTATCCATTAAATAGAATCCCATAGGAAATGGGAATAAGAGTACCATGAAGACAAACTGTAATACTGAATACCAAATAAAGATAACTGCATACTAAGGATGATAGGAAACTAACTAGGTGAGCAAACACATCTGAAGATACCTAAAGTCAAAAACATGGGTTAATTATAATTAACTGAGTAAGGAATTACATGAAGGAAGGAAGGAAGGGAGGGAGGGAGGGAGGGAGGGAGGGAGGAAGGAGGAAGGGTCAGCCCTAGCTGGTTTGCTCAGTGGATAGAGTGTCACCCTGCGACTGAAAGTTCCCAGGTTACATTCCAGTCAAGGGCACATACTCAGTTTCCTGTGCAGTGGTTCTCAACCTTCCAAATACCGCAACCCTTTAATATAGTTCCTCATATTATGGTGACCCCCCCAACCATAAAATTATTTTCGTTGATATTTCATACCTGTAATTTTGCTAATGCTATGAATCGTAATATAAATATATGACATGAAGAATGTATTTTTGTTGTTACAAATTGAACATAATTAAAGCATGGTGATTAATCACAAAAGCAATATGTAATTATATATGTGTTTTCCGATGATCTTAGGCAATCCCGGTGAAAGGGTCATTCGACCCCCAAAGGGGTCGCGAACCACAGGTTGAGAACCGCTTTTCTTGTGGGTTCAGTACCTAGTTCGGGGTTGAGGGCAAAAGACCGGGTTGTGGGCTCGGTCTCTGCTGGGGGATGTACAGGAGGCAGCCAATCAATGATTCTCTCTCATCACTAATGTTTCTCTCTTTCTCCCTATACCTTCCTCTCTGAAATCAATAAAAATATCTTTTAAAAAAATAAAAATAAAGGGTCAGCGTTACCACTATCAGCCACTGTACTTCTCATTGATCCTAGCAACCTGTTCTCCAAAAAACTAAATTTTTGTTTTTAAAAACCATAGAATGCCCTGGCCAGTGTGGCTCAGATGGTTGGAGCATCGTCCTGTGTATCCAAGGGTTGAGGGTTCAATTCCTGGTTAGGGCACATATCAGAATGTGGGTTCCATATCCTGTTTGCAAGTGTGCAGAAGGCAGCCTATTGATATTTCTCCCCCATACCTATCTCTCTCTCTCTCTCTCTCCCCATTTCCTTTCCTCTCTATGTAAAAGGAATAATACATAAGAATTTCAGGGTAGCCAAAAATAAACAAAAGAAAACAGAGATCTCAAAAAAGTCTAGAGGCAAAGTAAATAACAAGACAATCTACCAAAGCTTATGTATAACATTCAGAAAATGTAATTATAAGGAGAAATTTTATAGAGATAAATGCCTCTATTGTCATAAATAATAATAGAGAAACATGGTAATTAGCTGTACCTCCGCTACCCTTCCCATTGGCTAATCAGGGCGATATGCAAATTAACTGCCAACCAAGATGGCAGCCGGCAGCCAAGCAGCTTGAAGCGAACAGGGAGCTTGCTTGCTTCAG